CCGCCATGGGAAAGCTATTTTGGAGGAATCCAGTCCCTCAAATGAGTCAGAAATGACTCTGTAACTTAGGAAGCATAAGTTGAGAATGACCTAGGCATGAAATTTAAGACAATATGCAGATATTTCCAGGCCTCAAAAGGAAAAGTGAAAAAAAAAAAAGTCCAAACCACCAGCTACTTTCCTCTTCATGTCTTGTAATTGTTTTCAACTTGTTTTTCTCAGTAAAGTTGTTTACTTTTTCCTCTAGGACTCCAGTTGCATAACTGCAAATTTCCTTAATGTCTTTGCATAGTAATTTCATCTCTAATTTATGAATCCAAATAAACCCTGTTTTCCTTCCCGTACTATTAACAAAAAGACAAAAATGGGCATAATATCAGTTTCTCATGTGTATGGAGTAATGTGTATAGCCTGACTGCAGCCTCACTGAAAGTTAATCTCACTTTCACGTAGGTGTAATTTTACTGCATCCAGTAGTATTCCTGGCATCCTTTGCTGTTGCTGTATCAGAAAAAGACTTGCTAAACTTCAACCCAACTATTGATCAGAGTAAGAATTTGCTTAAGCTAAACCCATGGGTTATGACAGAGGAGCAGATCAGAGACTTGTGCTGATGGATTAATAGTTCCATGGGTTCAGAAGACTTCTAAATGTGTGTACCTGGGGAGCATGAGCTGGTGTGGTGCCAGGGATGTGAGTGTAGCAAACAGCCACCACAAAGGCAATGCTGATGTCAGCCTGTTTTGAGATCAGCACCGATCCCAGGCAGTTTTTGGTGTATATTGTACACCTGCAGTCCTTGTGGGGCTGGCTTGAGTGAGCTGTTAACCTAGGGAGCCCAGTTACCAGTGGCTGTAGCACTCAATAGCTCAGTGTGGACTTGGGATCTAAGCATGCACTCTCCACTTTTGGCCTCTGTGGTCTGTGCTAAACCCTATACTCCAAAAAGAGCTGCATTGATAGCAGTTACCTGATAAAATTTGTATATACAAGTAACCTGGGTATGTCTAGACACAATGTCTACATGCCATCTCAATCAATTCCATTTTCATTATGGTACAGGATGAATTATGACAGCAGCAAAACCTAATTTGAACTGCAGCTGAAGAGGGCTAGGGGGAGGTGATATTCTGGTTTACCATACAATCCTCTGGAGAAAAGAGTTCAGATCTGTCTTAGGTTATATAACAGAAATGAGGTTAGCAGATTTGGTCTAATCCCTTGTGGACAGGCCCACCACAGAGCACGGAATAATGTGGATAACTGTCTGTCTGCATGCTTGCTGATGGCTTTGCTACTGCAGCAGCAGAATGCTGTTTAGCCAGGATCCCAGATCAGGCACTGAGGCCTGTGCAGCCTGTTTCAAAAGCTGTTCCAAGATCTCTTGGTCTCAGAATTGTCGAGAACACGAAGAGCAGCCTGGTCTCTTAGAATAAACAAAAAGGGCCCAATCCTTTGTCATTTTGTGAATACTGTTTTTGCTTTGCTCTGACATTGCAACTGAGTTGGATAATTAGCCTGATTGGCCTAACTGAGGACTTTGTTTAGAGGGGTGTTCTTGGGGCAATACTGAATACCCTAAGCGACCCTGCCACACATGTAACCTCCTAACTCTTTTTTTTCCTAACTGACCAGTCCACCTTTTATGCCACAGCAGGCAATTGGCAGTGAATTGGAGCAGCTATAAAAGTTCTTTGTAGTGGATTAGCCTGGTCCCTGGCTGAAAAAAAGCACATCAACATGCATTAGTGGCACTTTTCTCAATTCATGAATGCTATCAGCACAGGTCAGAGAAAACTAAGGTTGTCCTAATGCTCACGGAATTAATTTAATTTACAAACAAACTGATAAAAATACAGTAGATAAACTGACTGCTGCAACCACTTTTGGGGCAAAACTTCATGGGTGACCATCACATCCTATGGAGGAAACAGGAAATGTCTCCTGCCATGGTAGAAGTGAAGAGCCCTGTGCGGGCAGGTGTAGCAGTTGGGATCTGGCTGTGACACCACTTAACATGAGCTGTCACTGCAGGGGTGGCGGAGCTCCAATGACTGCAAGTGGCAAAGGCTGCTAGGGTTGCACATCCCCTGGGGACAGGTAGCACTTCCAACCACTTTGGTGCTTCTGAACAGTGTGTGGCAAAGCCCAGTTTAGCAGAGGCAGGTTCAGAGGGCACAAAGGCACCTGCTAAATCACTACAATGATTTCCTGCAAGACCTTTATTTTCCTGGCCACATACTGTATTGATCAGGCCACTTGGTTACTGAAAGAAAGCAGGGTGATGTAGCTGGTCAATCGTGCATGATGTGCTCATGTGGAACATAGTCTGCAGGAAAACTACAAAAAGCTTGAACAAGTAAATGTGTGTTTACCAATTTGTTTTCAGCCTGGATGGTATCAGTGGCATGTGCTTAAATATAATGGACAGGCCCTGTAACCTTGTAACAGTGCTGCTGCACAAAGATTTAATTTTCTAATATTCTATTTCTGTAAGATGGTTTCAAGCAATAAAGCACCAAAACCTACTACTTTGACTTTGCCCATGCCCAAGACAGAAGTTTTGACACCTTAAAAAGATATTAAATTTGATGCCTTAAAAAGGTATTAATTGCAAATGAATTCTTAAGGTATGATGCCCCGATGTGCGTGATGATCAGGAGATTACTGTATTGCTACAGTGCCCTTTTAGGTCACCTAAAAGGCTGGGCTTTTTCTGTGCCTGTTTTGATGAGACATCTAATGCTGTGCAGGAGTGAAATGGGCTGCACTGACTGCTTAAGCCTGGGGACAACAGGTTACAGTCACGGGGCCGGTGTGGCTCGGGGAGGAGGGCAGCGCACCGTGACAGGGGCAGCGAGGGTCGCTGCGGGACCAGAAGCCGAAGTGGCTGGCAGCGCTCAGGTTCTGGCCCCCGAGGTGCCGGACTTTGGCGAAAACCCTTCCCTGGCGGGTCCCGGGGCTCGTACGTGCGGCCAGAGCAGTGGGCCTTAGGCCGCACTGCCCGGAGCGCGGCCCGCCCAGCCCCGCAGCGCCGCGGGGAGCTCAGCTCGGCCCGGCCCGGCCCGGCCCGGCGGGGCCCGAGTGCTCCCGCCCCGGCGGCCGCCGGTCCTTCCGGGCAGCTGAAGGCAGCGATTAGGGCGGTGGAGGCCGCGCGGGGGACGGCGAGGGAGGGAGGGAAGGAGCCGTGAGACGGACAATCTGCTCCGCTCCCAGTCCGGGCGGGCAATGCCGGAGGGACCCGGCGGCGGCCGGGGGCTGCAGGGCGGGGGCCCAGCACAGGTACCCCATCCCCCGGGCCGGCGGCGGGGCCCCCGGCAGAGCCCCGTGCGCCTTTAAGGGGCGGCGGGCGGGCGGGCTGGCAGCGGTATTGTTCCCTGACGTCACCGCAGCCTGTGCGGCGGCGGCGGCGGCGGCTGCTCTCAAACTTGCCTTTGTTATTCGGCGCTCCCCGGCTGACACCGCGGCCGCTCGCAAAACGCGGAGCCGGAGCGCGCCGGAGCGGCGGGACGAGCCGCCTGCCACCGGGCTGCCCGTCCCCGCCGGGGCTCTGCCCACCCGGGGTTCCCCCCGCGGCGCTGCCGGGCGGGGCGGCCGCCGCTCTGGCTCCGCGTTGGGGGCGGGCGCAGCGTCCGCAGGGACCCCCGCGCCCCGAGGCGCTCGGGGGGCGGCCGGAGGCACAGGGAGAAGGGCAGGAAGAGGGGTCTTTTTTCTGGGCAAGCCACGAAGGCGTAAATGAGCCGGGCGGGGGCCGCGCCGGGGGCACTGCCCGCGGGGTTGGCGTAGCCCCGCGCATATCGGCGGGGACCGGGGCAGCCCCGCGGGGGGAGCGGCGCGGACAGCGGCAGGAGCGCTCCGTTCCGCCTGCACGCAGCTGAAAAAAATATGAAAAAATTAGACAATCTTCCCCCTTCCCCGAGCGATCCGACATCCCTTTACAGTCCCGATCGTTCTCCTCCTCCAACAACAAGACGAATGTGACCAGCGAGAAGCTACACAGTGCTGTTTAAATTGCTTATCTTAATTGCATAATCTAACAAGCCCCGTTGGAGCAGGGATGAATATATTAGGCTTATTAACAACTCATCATAAAATATTGATTGTCCTGGAAGTGTTTTATCAAGGGGAAGAGAAGTCGAGGGAGATGTTTTTTAGCAGATTGGGGCTCGTCAGACAAGGACGGTTTCTTCTTATTTTCTCCCTGGAAATCGGGCTGGATTTCCTAAGGAGCGCAGGGGAAGAAAAACAGCACAAAACACGCCCTATTGTTAGCGCCGGGGGCCGCGCTCCGGGCGGCGGGGGGGCCCCGGCCCCTGACCGCCCCCCCCCACGGCGGGGCCGCCTCCCGGGCCCGCCCCGCCGGGCACCGCCGCCCGCCCGGCTTCCCCGGCTGAGCGGGGACCCCCGGGAGAACCCCGCTCCTACCTGGGTGGCGGGAGCTCCGGGCTCTGAAAATAACAGCGGCCCCGAGGGTGGGGGTGGTGGCGATAAATGGAAGGGGGTGGGGGGCTAAAGTGCAATAACGGAGCAGCAGGATGTCTCGGCGTTCCCGTGTAATCCCCCTGCCCGCCCGGTAGTTCCTTCCATGCCCGTAAAAATTCTCTCGTGAAGACGACAGAGACGGAGACACCTCATGCTTGAGAGTGTGTTGGGTCCAGGGTGGTTTTCCCCTATTTAATAATACAAAAACACCGAAGGGAGTATACATATTCTCCAGCTTTCAGTTTCCAGAGTGGAAGGGTTTCCGAGTGCTTGGTATTCAGGACGACTAAAACGAGAGTCCCCGCCTTAAAAGACACTGTAAGACAATATTTGTATTTTAACTCGTATCTAAGATTTTTAACTTGGTGTGATTTGGGGTGTGTGTGTGTGTGTGTTGCGGGGGGAGAGGGGAAGGGAGAGGGCGAAGGGAAGAACATCCCTGTAGGAGGCAGCTCCCTTTCAGATAGGAATCTGGGACAGATTTTGCCAGCAGCCACAAAGCATGGCCCTTTGGTAATAGAATAGCCAATGTAATTTGACACTTCAACTTGCTGTGCTCTCTGCTAGTTGATTCACTTACTCACCCACTAACATTGAGCTCCTTTTCACTGTCTGTGGGCAAGGGGAAAAAAAAGGGGGGGGAAGGAAGAAAAAAGAAAGCAGGGGGAGAAGGAAGAAAGGAGGGGAATAAACAAAATTATATATTTAAAAATACCCGAGTAGAGCTGCAAATCAGTTGGGAAAGAGGATTTTGCCTGCCTTCTTCCTTATTATTTTGCTGCTGCAAGGCTGCTTTGCAATCCGTAGGTAAGTTTCGCGTCTATTTGCGCTCCCTGCTCGCACCTCCCCGTTCGCGGCCGGGCAGGGGTTGCGTCTCGGCGGAGCAGAAACAATGGAGCGGCCACACTGGGGAAAAAGGTGTACAGGGAGGAAAAAAAAAAGAAAACAACAACATATTTATTCTGCAAGGGGAGAAAATGTGTGGAGACTTCTTAAAGGGGCAGACTGTCCCCGCCGAGGGCGCGGGGCGAGCGAGCAGCGGCGGAGCCGGGCCCGGCGGCGGGGAAGCGGCTCTCCCGGGCAATGCCCTTCCCGGGCCGGCCGCGGGGTCGCGGGGGGACCCGGCCCGGGGCGAACTTGGAGCAGCCGCGGCGGGAGGCGGGCGGGCGCCGGAGCCGCCGCAAGCACAAAGGGGGCTGCGGGGACCGGGGCGGCGGCTGCCCCCGGCCGGGGCGAGCGCCGTCGGGGCCGGCAGGAGCCCCGCAGCGGGGCCGGGGCTGCGGCTCGGGGCGTGCGTGCCCGGCCGGCCGTGCGTGCGTGCCCGGCCGCCCGTGCGGGGCTCGGGAGACGCGGGGGGGAGCTTGCGCCCGTTCTCGGGGCTCCGGGAAGCTTGCCTGGGTGTAAATTCCTTGCGTCTGGGTTTTGAGAGCCAGTTGGGACCTGGGCCTCTCTCGCCAGGCAGGAGGAAGGAGCAGCCCCCCTCCCTCCCTCTCTCTTCCCCTCCCTCCCCCCGTGCATCTGTCCAGGAAGCCGCCGGGCGGAGGGGAGGGGGCGCGGGGGCACGGGGCCGGGGGTGCCCGACCCGGCCGGAGCTCGCCCGCCTTTGTGCGAGGGGAGCGGGGGAAGCGCTTCCAGGGGCGGCCGGCGGAGCTGCTCGCGGGGAGAGGGAGAATGGCAGCCAGTTAAAAGACACTTCAGGAATGTAAACATAAAAATAGGAGCCATCCAGCCACGCTCTTGTCCCCCCCACCCCCCCGCGGGGCTCGGGATAGCATTCTGGGCTGGCGCGGTAGCGGGGAAGGAGCACGGCAGCCTGAGACAGGGGGAGGAAGTTGTTACTATAATCGGGGTTTTAGACTGTAAACTTTGTTTTGCACGTGCAAAGTTTAATTTCGGTGCCGCCTCGGAGGCTGCGATGAGAGACGCGGGGCGGCGCCTCGGGGGTGCCCCTTGGAGCGCAGCCCCCGCCGCCGTCCCTGCTGAAGGCGGAACCTGCCCGGCCGTGGCAGCGGGACCCCGCATCGCCGCTTTTGTCTGGGGTTGCCGGGGTCCCCCTCGTCAGCCCGGCAGCTGCACTACTCGGTGCAAATTGCGGCTGTATCGTCAGTTTATCGAGAGCCAAGCAAACTCAAGGCATAGCTCCGCTCTGTCGTCCGATTGTGCGCCGTGTGTATTTTTGTGCTTCAGTTAATAATCTGCAAACGGCTTAATGCCTCTGTAGTGCCAGAGGAATTGGTTTTCTCCATTTACTTCAGCAGGCCTGAGTGAAGCTGGTGTTCTGACTGCTTTTTTCAATGCATTGACACGAGAGAAGAGGATTTAACTTGGCAGCCTGAACAAATGCTCTATCAAAGGTTTCCTAAGAGACAGTAGGAGTGCTGGGGTGATGAATGACCTGGGGTAGTTTTAGGGTGCTACCTATGCAAGCTTTCTTTTAAATATGAAATGGCCATTTAGGGCTCTGAATAAAACTGCGCACATCAGAAAGGCGACAGGCTTATAAAATTTAAAAGGGCAAAAGCCCATTAATGCTGTGGCAAAGCTTTGGCTCCCAGCTCTGGTTGAGTAGTTCCAACTGCCGTGAAGTGCCAAAGCTTTTAAGGAATCTTTAGCAACAGCTTCTCTCTGGCTGTGAAACGGACCTTGGCCTTGCACACTGGAAGTTTAGTGGTGCAGCCTCTCCTCCCCACACAAGGGAGGAAGGGTGAGGGCAGCAGGTGGGAGGGCAATGCAGGGGTGAAGCAAAATCTGGAGGGGAATTTAAAAAAAAGGCTGTATGCTGGAATGTATAGCTAAAACGATTTACTGGTGGGAACGTGTTCAGGTTACGATACTGGGGCTGTAACATGGTACAGTGGGTAACTCAAAAATATTACTAGCACCAGCAGAAAAGTTTCACAAAGGAATGTAGCAAAGCTAAACACCTTTGGGAAACAAATCCCTCTGACGAACATGGTTGGTCGTGGATTCAGAGCTCCACTTCCTTCTCTTGACTGGGGAAAATGTACTATGGCATCAATCTTCTCTTGGCGGAGCCTGGTGCAGGTTTGTGAATGCCAGAAGACTCGCTCTGACCTTTCTCTGTTCCAAGCTGAGGATGTTGAAACACCAGCCATCAAACAAAAGAGACATTGAAAGCAAGATCTGCAGTGGAGCACGTGTGACTTTGAGGCTAGCTGAGTGCATTTGGTGGCCGGTTTCCTCAGAGTTTGGGGTGGGGAAGAGGAGAAGGAAAAGGTCGCTTATTTTTACAGTGAGGCTATGGAAAAGCTGACTTGAAATCCCCTAAATATTCCATACTCAAGTATTTTTTTTATCTTTTTAAGTGTTGTTTCAAAGTGCCTTGATTTTTGCTCTTCTTACATATGTATCTATAATTGCTACATTACAAGAGGAAGATTATTTTTCCCCGTGGTTGCAAGGAGGACCAGGAATTTTGCATAATCCACTGTATAAAAAAAAGAAAGAAGCTTTAAAAAAAAGTCTTTAGGATTATATTTTAAAACAATGAAGAATTTCCTGGGATTGAATTGACAGATTGTGAGTTTTATCTACACAAGATAACATCACCTTGAAAAGTGGCTGATTTCAAGATTATTCTGTAAATTGTAACTTAAATTTACTTTGGGCTTTCTGAATTTAAGAAGAACACCTTTGGGACCAGTTGATATAGGTATCTAACCTGCCAATTACATTCATGTCAACATGGACAGATGCTTTTATTGTTTGCATTGTTTACAGTTCACAATACCTTAAATAAACGTTGATCATGATTAGAAACAATAATTGAGTCTGTGGCAAAGGATCAATGAAAACTTTAGTTCAGGAAAGAAGTCAGTTGCTGTGTATATGTACAGAGAATGTTTTGTACTTTCTGGGATGAAATAAATCTGCAATCTTAGTATGGCGTACACTTCTGTTTTTAGATTATTTTAAGAAACCCACAAAAGATAATGGATCAGTTTTTGCAACATCTGAATGATTTCTCCTGTACAAGGAGTGGAAAGGCAAGGCTCTCTGTAGCATAGTTCCATTCATAACTTTTCTTGGGAGTTGCTTGCCCTTTGCCCCAGATCTCTTCCACTTTTATGGGCTCCAAAGGTTTTCTGTTGGGGAGGGAAAAAAGGCAAAAGCAGAACCAAACCAGCGCCTCAAACCCTCATGGATGGCAGTTACATCACTGATACTATAGTTGGAGACAATGTTGGCAGGTTTTTAGCAACTTAATGTTTCTGCTAGCAGCTCGGGGTTTCTCTCCTGAAAAGGAAGAAAAATGGATCTGGGAAAGGAGAAAGAGTTGGAATTCCTTTTGACTTCCCCAATGTTGTTGATAGGTTTCAGAACAACAGGGATCCAGCCTTTTTGCAGTCCCACAGAAGATAATGTGACGATGGGAAATGGAGGTAGTGGCTGGCCAGGAACTCGTGGTGCCTGCTGTGCTGCTCTAACAACGTGGGTGATCAAATGCTGCAGGAGGTGTCAGCTTGGCTTGTTATGGCTTTACCTGGGAAGCCTGTTTCTCATAAATAAGTAGGACTGCAGTTAATGCCTGTGGTAGCAAATTTGACCACTATGCAAGTGGCTAATTTGTTCACTCCTAGTTAGATCAATTTTTGTGAAATTCTATCCTGTATTACAGCAAAGCGGCGAGAATATTGCTGAAGAGTTTATGTTGGTTTGTGTTTGTTCCTGTCAAGTGTCTGTTGTAGGACAAGCAGCACAAGCCCTCTTGATCCATTTAGGTGTGTTTTATGGGAAAACACAGTAAGCAAAACATCAATATAGAACTACCACAGATAGACCTCCTGCTCAGATATTGTATGTTTTCCTTACACTCAGTTCACATCTTCACTCCAAGTGTATGTAAGCCTTCCTGCTGATGACAAGTTGAGGCTGTCAGTGGTATTAGAAATAATTTCAGCTTTAAAATGGTGTCTTTGGCTTAAAAGGTTGTTTTGCTGTATTGATTTCCTCCTCCCCCCTTCTTACTATAAAGCAGAAAATTCTTATGTAGCAATTTTCAGTTTTTCACTTCCATTGGGTTTCACATGATCATTAATATTCAGCTTGGCTAATGTTAGAATATTTTAAAGAGAATATAGGCTGCTAGGGAAATGTCCAGGCAATGAGTTGTAATGGATCTCCACAGCTAGACTGTTGGAGGCAGTAGTGTATTATGAGAGTAGGAGATGGCCTTACACTTGTTACATGTTATTTTTGGTTCTAATAATTTAAGATACACTGAAGTCTACATTGCCTGCAAAGATGAAGTTTCCTGGCTTCAGTACAGTTCTCTGCCCTTCCCTTTATGGAGCAGGGCAGATTTCTATGAGTATTAGGTATCCAGTAAAAAAAGCAAAGTTGTTCTTAGACAGACAAAATCACTTTCAGCCTAATTTCTCCTGTACATGTCAATAGAAATTAAGTTACTCCACAGGGAATGACTCACTCTTTAAAAGAACTTGCCCTTCTGAAAGTTCACATAGGTGATCACTCGTTCTGGAGCACGTGTAGTTTCCTTCAGTTGCTTATACATTTTAGTTCTGTAGCAGAGGACGGGGAAGTAATTTTTACTCCTGTAGTGAATGGTGTAACATCTAAGAAATCATTTCCAGTTTGTGGTGCTTTGTAGGGGGATAGAATATAAGAAAATAAAGGTAGTGTAGAAAGTAATCTTACCCCTAAGGCGTTGCAGCTAGGCCAATTAGCAAAGATCAGGAGCAGGCCTGACTTTAACAGGCCAGAGCTGTAACCAGTGAGAAGAAGATGCTATAAAAGAGTGGGGTGGCTGGGTGAGAGGGGAGCTG